ATAATGCAAAGGTGAGGAAAAATTCTACCCCCTAAATTTCTATATAAATAGTCTATAATTTTGTTTTTTAAAAATATTCCCTTGAATGTTTCTAAACAAGTACTATATTAAAATGTTATTAAGATGCCAAAGCAGATTTATTTCTACAAATGTTACTCGAATAAGTAGAAATTTATAGACATTGAAGCATGACCACTATTACTTCATATTATGAATAAAAATTAATTTGAAATATGTCATTGATCTAAATATAAGAGCTAAAACAAAAAAATTCTGGGAAAGTTAAAAGCCAATCTTTGGAGTCTTGTGCTGAAAAATTTTTTTTAAATAGGACACAAAAGCACAAATCAATCGCACATCTTTGTGGAAAATTCTGCTGGACAGGAATGTCTTATATTAGGCATCAAGAAAAAATACTCCCTGCACAAGTCCATCCTGCCACCTGTTTTTGTATAGTATGTGAGCTAAAAGTATTTACATTGAACAAATGCAAATAAGAAATAATATTTTTGAAACAAACATTTTATGGGAAATCTACATTTGTTTCTATAAAAATTGGAACATATCAATCTTCATTCATTTGCAGATTGTTTATGACTGCTTTCATGCTACAATAGCAGATGTCAAAAATTGCAACAGAAACCACATGGCCGGAAAAGTCTAAAATATTTACTATCTGGCCCATTACAGAAAGTTTGCCAACTCCTGTCTCAGACTACTATCTCCAACTAGATAAATGGATCCAGCCTGTGACAGAAGAATACATATATCTGATTTGTAAAGAGGGTAGAATTGGCCACACAGTGTTGCATTTTTCTGTACTGGGCTATTCCATAAAGAAGGGATTCAATGGGTAATTCCCTTGGGCTCTGGCTTCTCAGGGCTCAAAAGACACCAGGCACAGCATGAATTGCCCTGCATGGGGGTGAATGAAGAAGCTCATCAAATGCAGCATTTCCCCTCCAGCAGGTCACCAAAGCTGATGCAGTGAACTGGGGAGACTGGCAACTCCTGCCTGATTCTTCAGTATATTTCTCATTTAATTAGTTATAGGAGAAGAAGTAAGTAAGTTTCATTACTATTACCCTCAGACCCTAATTTTGAGAAACAGAAATCTTCTCTGGTTACCTCCTGTGTTTGTGAAAACAGAGTGCATTGAAGTCTTTTTTCTTGTACTAAATCAGTGACCATTAGGGTAAGCTGCATAATCTCTCAGTAAATTATCAATTCTGTCTTCTTCAAAAGATGACATTAGTAATTGCAACCTTACCAATCTCATTGCTTTTTCCCCTAGAAAATACAAGTTTCAGTTATATTACTTTTTATTTCACTAATAATATGTATTGGTTTTAACTGGAAAAAGTAGGCTTGAGATGGCAACTGGAGTGTCTGGATAAATACAGAAACCATGTGATAGAACGCATTGTAAAACCACTGAGACAAAAATTGGTCTCAAGGTTCCAGAGGCAGGAGAAACTCAGAGAGCTAAGCTAACACTGACACTCAATTTTTGGCTGTCTTTGCATTACGTCCAATTCTGAATCATGACAACAGGTGTTATGTCATTATGACTGCCTATGGGAGAGGAATGAATATTTCTTTAAAGAATATAAACTTCCTTTGCAATTCTGCAATTTCTTATATATAACATCTGGTATTTAACCAAAATTTATCAGGCATTTCAAAGATACAACTAAGTTATCACAAGAAGAAAAGTGGGGAGAGAGAATGGCAATAAAAACAGACACGCATTAGGAAACTTTTCTCGCCTAGTCTTATAAGGCTGGTATAATCTTAATATCAAAAATCCAGAAAATTCTGGGAAAGAAAATTATAAACTAAATCTCTTGTGAATGTAAACACTGAAGTCCTAAACAATATGAAGAAGGTCAGTTCATCTTTATGTGCATACTTATTTTTATTTAGTGAGGAATGTAAGTCAAATATATATAATCTGATGTTGAATGGGTATTTGTCCCCTTCAAATCTCATTGTGATTCCCAATGTTGTAGGTGGGGTCTGGTGGGAGGTATTTAGGACATGGGGATGAATTCTTCATAAATGGCTTAAAGCACTTCCCATGATAATAAGTGAGTCCATATTCTGTTAGTTCACACACAAGCTGGTTGTTTAAAGTCACTTCTACCCCTTTTTCCCTTACACCCTCTCTAGCCATTTGACACGCTTGCTTCCCCCTCACCTTCTTCCATGATTGAAAGCTACCTGAAGTCCTCACTAGGAGGAGATGCCTGCTTCCATTGTGCCTCTTGTACAGCCTGCAGAACCATGAGCCAAAATAAAACTCTTTTTAAATAAATTACCCAGCCAAAGATATTCCTTTATAGCAATGGAAATGGACTAACACACAATTGTATAAATAGATGCCCAGAATTGATTGATAAGATTTTATACACAATGGTGACATACATATATGACAGCAAACTTCTCTAATCTTATAAAAAAAAAACTACCAAAATCTACTTCAAGCATCATTCTCAATATTGAAATGGAAAACTTCCACTGCTTCCTGCAGATTAGAAATGAGAAACAAGGATCCCCACTGACACCAATTCTATTCAATGCCCTCCTAGAAATTCTAGCCAATGCAATAATGAATGCAATAAAGAGGCATTAATCCCATGAGAAATGGAAAATAAGAAATAAAACAATATTAACCCAGATACATATAATGTACACAGAAATTACAATGAATCCAGAAATAAATTATGAATAGTGATTAGTAAAATTAGCAAAGTTGACAGATTAACATCATCAGAATGATAAAAACTAATTATGTTCCACAACAAGAATATTAATTATCTAGGGAAAACCAAAGACTTGAAACCCATGACAACAAAATCACAACATTCCTGGGAAAATAAAAGAAATCCCAAATAAATTGGAAGCATAATTATATTGAGGAATAGAAAGACTCAACGTGTCAAGATTCAGTTCTTTCCAAACTGACTTACAAATTTAATG